GGGGGGGGGGGGGGGGGACTGGGGCAAAAGAAACACTTAATTCTCTGTGTGTTTCATATTACAGGAAAGAATTGTGTGTGAAAGAAGTGCTGTTAAGGGTTCATATAAGTTAAGCTGTACGTGAGCACAGTGTATGAGCATGTGTTTACATCTTAGCATGAGATGGAACTGAAGAAGCTGCCTGACCCTCTGATTTCCATGCTTTCGAGGCATCAGCCTTAAATTCTAAACTATTTTTAGAGCCTTAAACTATTCTCTTAAATGAAAAGGTGTGTTTGTTTCCCTGCTAGAGTGACAGCTAGCTCCCATGGCATGGAAGCACCAAATGGTTTTGATGCTTCCTATTGGATGGAGGAGACACAATGGATGCGATCAGTTCCTACCACAGCCTTTATCCGAAACATGAAGGGCAGGCAGGTGTAATGTTAGGTCTTGGGCATCCGGGTAAAGGAGGAAGCACATAGCCAGCAAGGCCAGTAGCAAGCAAGCCTCCTCCCTCATGAATCTGTCCAGTCCCCTTTTAAAGCCATCCAGATTGGCAGCCATCACCACTTCCTGTGGTGGTAAATTCCATAGTTATATGAAGTACTTCCTTTTATCTGCCCTAAATCTCCTGCCAATGAGCTTCATGGGATGACTCCAGGTTCAAATGTCATGGGAGAGGGAGAAGAATGTTCCCTCTCTACTACCTCCACAGCATGTGTTATTTTTAATACATCCATGATGTCTCCCCTTATTTACCTTTTTTCCGAAGCTGAATGTCTCAGTTGTTACAGGGGCTTCTCACAGGGGAGATGCTCTAGCCCACTGGTCATTCTTGTTGCCCTTCTCTGTGCTTTTCCCAACTCAGTAATGTCCCTTTTCTATAACTGGGGACTAGAACTGAACAGCAAGTGTGGTTGCACCAAAGATTTGTATAAGGGAGCAGAAATGATTGTCTGGTTGCATCTCCCTTGTGCAAGCTTGAGATTCCTTCCCCCTCCTCCACCTCTCTCTCTCTCTCTCTCACACACACACACACACGACCCCCTCCCTCCACTATAAGCTCTTTATGTGGCTAATGCATTAACAAGGCTTTTAAATGTGTGTGCGTGTGAGAAAGAGCAAGAGAAAGAGAGAGAGGAAGAAATTGGTGGAGGGCAATACCCCATCTCCTACTGTCAGTCTTCTTACCTGTCCATGATTCCTCACTAAGTGGGAGGCAGCTTAATGCTCAGGTATTCATTGAGGCCACTTTCTTGCAACAGACTGTTTTGATGGTGGTGTCTCGTAAATACACTCTTTTGTCAGATATTTAAGGACTTTATTGTAGGCATTGTATATTGTTGGGGAAACTTCGGTAGCAATCATGAAAGGTCAGAGATGCTTGTTCTTGGCAGCCTCAGGCGTTTTAGATTTTTCCGGTCTTGCACGATGTACTCTGCTGTGGTTGACACTGCATTGCCTGTAGTCCTCAACTCAGCAAGGAAGGGGGTGGGAGCCGGGGAATGCCTTTCTGGGTTGAGAGAGTAATTGAATTGCCAGGCTCAATGAGTCTTGAGACTCCTTGACAAAAAAGGTGCTGTTGGTGTTTGCTTCATTCTAGTAAGTTTCTAGGATCCTAAAAAGTCTAGGCCAAAGCTTCCTGGTATTTCTTTTCAAACTGTGGGGTTATACAGTTCTACATGTGCAAAGTATTCTGCCGTGGCTTTTTAGTCAATAGTCCCAGCAACATACACACAGATGGTGCCTATTGTATATAATAACTGAAACACAACTTTAGATTCGCCATGCTGTATGCGATTGGGCTGGGTAGAGTGAGAAAGGTAACAAACATGTGTTTTGTCACTACGTCGTCTCTTTACCACTGAAGATCAGACATGTAAAGAAATGAATCCGCTGAGAAGCTTGAAGGGATCATAATTTATTCATGCTTTCACTGGAGACGCATTAAAGACCAAATGTTTGTTCAGTGTAAGAGGAACAAAGTGAGAGGATGGGGTGCATCGTTCTTGGTTTATGCCACATTTCTTCCATTGGGACTTACTGGTAAAGTACCCAGGAAACCCCTATCCAAAGGTGCAAAAATTCTGGCCTACCATTTCCACTAGTGCATGGGGAAGAGTTGTTCTGCTCTCCTGATGTGCTGAAGAGTGCAGCAAGCAAACTTCCTTTTCTGCTGTGGGTAGTGCTTTTGGGGGAGTGGGGGATGGGGTATCTATCTTTGCCTGCTAAGATATACCTGCATATATATAGATAGTACTTCTGCACACCCTGAGATTTCTCCAAGCATGCTGTCCCCTCCGTCTTCTCAACTTCATTTGAATTCACTTCCTGCCCTCACTCCCGCAACCCATGTTCTTTATTGTGATTTTTGTTCTTTCTCTTTTCACTTTTGATAGTTTCTCAATGCAACAAGTCATCGTTCCCTGGAAAAAGGCTGTTTGGTTGGAGACTAGGAGCAGCATTTGCACATGATCTCTGGCACCTCTCAGCCAGTCCCGTCGTGTGTGCAGCCAGCTCTTTGCCTCTCCTTCCTGACAGTGCGCTGGCTCCTAAAATTGTATCTTCCCTCCTGCTGTGTGGTCAATGAAGGCCCAGTGGAAAAGACCAGCCATACATGGCATGTTATTTGTATGTTGTGGCTTTTTGTGTGGATTAGTCAATATTTTTCTTCTTTATGTTGTAAAAAATCCCCCTACAGTTCCATATACATCAACCTTCATGGCTGTTCCCTCCTAATATTAAAATATAAATGCTAGATTTTATCTTTTCAAAATACCAAGCAATGGCCATTATTGCTTTTGTCTCAGTCGATCTCAGTGCAACCTGAAATCTGGTTTGCACCTAGCAAAAACACATCTAATGAAGTCTGCCCAGAACTGCCTGCACCCCTTGTTAAGGTTTACATAATGCAGACTTTGGGTCTTCAACATTATGTTCAGCTTCTCTCTATCCATCTCTCTCTCTCTCTCTCTCTCTCTCTCTCTCTCTCTC